AACACTTAGAGAAGATACACTGAAACTTAAGTTAAGGAACTGCAGCCCAGATAACTGGCCAGTAAGGGATGCAACAGAGGGCTTCTGATACACTAAACCGCAAGTTGCAATGTGCCCTGTTTATTCTTACCCCCTTCCTATATCACAGGCAAATTAAGGCGTGGACCATATTTCACTTCTCTTGTTAGCCTCTGAAGCACATAGCATAAGGCTGTACAATTGGCCAGTTCTCACTTGGGTTTCACTGCCTGACAGGAGGAACACATGCATGCTAGCAAACACGCAAGCCTCACTAAGAACGAACATTTATGGGCTGGTAAGCTTTGAGGACTTATTTCCGTGCTGGCCTGCAGCTTAACAACAAAAAGTTCTAAAAACAAATTCAGTACTTGTGAAAGATGCCACCTGTCCTGCCTCAGGGGCTGCAGGCCTCTTTTTATACACCGAGTGGGAACAGTACAGGGAGTGAGGAAGCCAGTTTTCCTCAAGCCACACCCACAAACTAGCTGGAGCCAAGACAAGGGCCCAGCCCTTTGGGGAAAGAGCACTGCTCACATTTAACCTTTGGTTTCACTGCTGAAACTGCCAACAGTCTGGGAATGAGGCAAGGTAGAACACACTGAGTGCCAGGTCTGATGATGTAACGTTAAATTCTCAGCTCTCCTATCGGGTGATAAGGAGAGGCCAATGATGTACAATTTTTTTTTTCCTTCCCTAATATTCAACCAAAATCACTGACTACTAACTTTTTTTTTTTTTTTGCACAACTCACCAATTTAAGAAAAAAAAGTATAGAATTCAGTGTCTAATTCCAGTGACTGATTTCAGTTTCAGAAAAACTGAACATATAGGACCTGGTATATGCTTATTTCATACACATACCATGTGCAACAAGAGCACAACAAAGTTCTCAGAAGTATTGAATTTCCAAGTCACAACCATGTGTAATTAGGAGACCAGAGAACAATATGCATCTAAACACCAGAAGGGCATACAGCCATGTGCACCAGGGCTGTCAGGGACACCAGACAACTATTCCTGGACCCAGGAAAACAGACTTCACCAGTGGGATCACATTTCAGAGCTCCAGCAATTCATAAAACACTTGGGAGTTTTCTACCAATATATCTGACAGATGTTGTCTTTTGTTGGGATTATTTGAATTGGTATCCATGCTTTTGAGACCTTTAGGATATAACAAAGTGATCCCTTCTCCCACATGTCCAAAGAGATCTTCTTTTCTGAATGCTAGGACAAACAATATGAGCATGATATCCTTGTCCATTAGATGGACCTGGTGAGACAGAGAGAGAACAGCAGGACTGGAAAGAGCTTCTCTGGGCTCAAGAGAGCTCTGCTTCCTGCCTGGGGCCTGAGTTGCTGGGAACTCATGGTTCTCCTCATGATTTATACCTAACATGAATCAAGCTGTTGGCATCCTGAGGCTCTGCCTGTGTAAGGCACTCCATTGGGCTTACAACTTCCTAGAAAGAGTCACAGAGAAGCCAAGAGGAGAGCAAGCCTGAGTCAGGGCAAGGGCCTGGCATCAGCTTTGGGCGGGTCCGCATCGCATGTTTTTCCCATGACTCCTGAAAGAACTCTCCAGCTCTGGGTCTATAATCAATGCTGGGAAAGCTAAGAGTTGACACAACAATATGACACACAGGTAACAAATGAGAACTCAACATAAAAACAGTACCAATTCCTAGTCATTCACTCGTCAACTATAACCATACAAAGGCAGGACCTCTGCTCTCTGTTTCAAACTCTGCAAGAATTAACCAAAGGCATTAGCGTAGCCCTCCCTTTCTATAGGGACACAACCAAGATTCCCAGCAGATGCCTGAAACCTAGGATAGTGCCAAACCATTTTTATTCTATGTTTTCGCCTATAATAAATACCTACAATAAAGTTTAATTTCTATGTTAGGCACAGTAAGAAGTTAACAACAATGATAAAGTACAACTATTATGACTTCTGTAGTTTGAAGAGTAACAACAAAGCCAGCAGAAATTTCATCCTCCTCCTCTATAATTCCATGGAAAAAAGATTCATTCTTATATCAATCTTAGTGTTCAGTTTCTTGTTTTATGTTAATAATTTTTGCCTAACTTAAAAAGAGCACTTTTCAGCTCCTCTTTATCATAGCTGATTCACCAACACCACTACTTTCCTACTTGCGAGCCATTATCAACAAAAATAAGAGTTACTTTGACACAGCATCATTATGCTGTGACAGCTGATCTAATATCTGAGTGACAACTAAGTGACTAACCAGCAGGCCGCACATACAGTGTGGTGACGCTAGACAAAGGGATGATTCACATCCAAACTGGCACACTCGGGGAACCAAGAAAACCACCATGCTATCTGCAACAGAATATAATTTAGAGTTTATAAATTTTGTTTATTTCCAGAATTTTTCATTTAATATTTTCAGACTATAGTTGAACAAAGATTAATAAAACCCTGCAAAACCATGAGGGAGGGGAGGGGCATTGTAATAACTTTAGCAAATATATAAGTCCTTACAAAGTCATGTCCCAAGTGTATTTCTTTGCATTCTAATCTTTCTCTAAAGCCTACTTTTTTTTTACCTTTGAAAACTGTTAAGAATACAACAACTTTTGAAAATCTACTTTGGGATTTTATATGTATGTAGTTTATATGTATATAGTAAAATGAATTTGAATCAACTAAGAAAAATATCACTGTAGCATTTTCCAATATTTTTGTGAGAACTGTTTATCAAACTAGAAGACTGCTATGGGACAATTATTTACTATGTACTGCATTTGTGCAATGCAAAAGAGAGGAATGAAAAGATTTGTTCTTTACTTATTAGAAGTCCCTTACTCATTAGTAGTTTGTAAAGATTCAAACAAAACAATAATGCATCACCAACCAAAGTTATAATGGATAGCTTACAAAATAAATATAATAAATTCAGTGCTAAAAAGAGCTCATGAAAAGCCAGACTAATTGTGTACAAGAAAATGGTTAGTAGGGATGAAAATTGAATAAGGTTGTAGAAAATGTACAATATTTCAATAGAAAGAGGGGCTAGAGAAAGGCCTTGTACATGGAAGGAAGTTTTAGTAAAAATATAGAAAACATGACAACAGGCGTGAACTGAGCAAACTGTTCAAGTGTAGCTAAAGGACAGGCAATGAGAAGGAAATAACAGAAAACAGACTGGAAGGAATTGCTGTGACCAGTTCTTAACATAAAGAGAGGAGGAAATATGGAAAGCTAAATTTAGGAAATAAGAAAAATGACTTTAAATTATGCTCTTCTCAAATAATTCTGCACATCATAGTTTCAAATTTTTATTTGTACATGTTTTTAAAGAATATTTTATTTACCAACTTATTTGTAAATTCAGACAATAACCTCAAACATTTTTTTCTAAGCTAGCAATTTTTTGCCCACAGCTTAACTAATATATTCCTGCTATCCCTATCTTGAGATTGTTTCATTAAATCTCTTCCCGTTAGTAAAAACCTTCTTAACTCATTAAGTACATAATGGATAGCTACTCTCAAACTAGCTATTTACTCACTTACTTAGCCATCCTCTCTCCCTTTCTGCCCCAACTTGTCCCTGCTAACCACTGGCTCACCCATTCTTCTCCTATGAACCACATTAATAACAACATTAATAGGCAATACTCATGGAGTTTTTGATTGAGTGCCAGACACTGCAATTCGTTCTTCATCAATAGTATGCAATATATTCCTCAAAACAACAATGTGAAATGCATATTCTTGATCTCTATTTTATGAGGAAACAAGTTCAGAGATGTCAAATACCTCATCAGCTGGAAAGTGGCAGAAACCAAGGGGAGACTGGGTCAGCTAGAGTCTGCCACACTGCCTCTCAGCACTCCATTTCTTGTCGCCAGCACCTTTGGACCTTTACTAGTATGAGTCAGGATTTCCAGGTCAAAAAATTAAAACATCCACTGAGCATCTGCTACCCCGCTGTATAATCCTGTCCTAGGTGCTGCTAAAGATAAATAAATAAATGAGAGAATGCCTATAGATGGCTGATGCCCATAATCTCCCATATTTCAGTACAAATAGTTGTATTATATTGGTTTATAAGATTATGTGTCCATGATTCATAAACTAGAACAACCAAGGCCAGAGGGGATGAAAATGGATGGTGACCACATCTCAGAGACAGACATTAGCCAGCCTCAACTAAATGACTTATAGAGAATTTTAATAACACATTTCAATAAGAGTCTGTAAAAACTTGTGCTGCCAATGAAAAATTTGTCCTGTCAGAAATTCCCAACCAAATCTGTTTATAATCCATTTTCAATGAATTTCAGCTTCCTTTGAAGTAGAATAAGCTACTAAAGCACTTAGCCAACAATAAGCACATTGTGAAGCCAGTCATCACAAAATTCATTACTGATGAGAAAAGTCACTAGGTTAGAACACAAGTGTATTATTAAACTCCCTCTACCACAGAACTGGATGCTGTATAAAATCATATGCATCTATTTAAACACAGAAAGTTAATTCAAACACCCATCTTTTAAAGCTATCTACTTTTAATACTACCTGTACTATCCTCTTAATACAATTCTGCTTGATATTTTAAAGAGAGTAGTTACATTTTCAAAAGTAACTCTAAGAATTACAAATACATAGGAAATTTAACCAGATGTTGCTCAGCAATTTTGTTCATGCTATGATCACTTGTACCCTAGGAAACATCTAAAAGATATCACTATTTTGGATTTACTGTTTACTCTTTACAAGGAGGCAAACTGCATAGCAAGGACTCAAAAGAATACAGTGGCAAATCCAAACTGCCTTACTCTGCAGCCTGAACTTCTAATACAAGAATTTTTTTGTTGTTGTTAAGGAAACAGACATTAATATGAAGAAAGAATGTCAAGAGTCACAAATGGCAAAAGAAAGAATACAATGGTTGAGCAACTAGAAGCACCACAGTACACAACATTAGCGACACTGATACTTACTGTTCAATTCGGGGTGACAAGTACAGCTTGGGGTATACTTGGGTGGCTTCAGCATCCTCAAAGCTGACAGAAAGGAGGGCCACATCTTCGCCAGGATCTTCATTTACATCCTTAAAAAGGAACAGAAAACAAAAACGATCAGTACTTGTTCTTCTCACCTCCTGTAAGTGACAAGCTCATGTCCCCCAGCATGGCGGTCATATTTGAAGGTTCTCCTTGCTCCAGCTGAATGATCCAGCATGTCCTCTGCCACTCAGCATGTTATTCCACTCAGAAAAAAATGGTTTCGAAACCTTCTGGCCAAAGTTTATCACGCCCAGGCAAAAGACCACCACCTACCCCACTTGTTTCCACATTCAAGGGTGGTTGGAATGAGTAGTAAGGTTTTAATTCTTAGAAAAGAATTAGAAAACAAACAAACAAAAAATCCCCAAACATCAAATTGCAGTTAACATTGCTTTGAATATGATTTATATCTTAAAACACCAAAAAATGTTATACTACCGAGTAATTCTATTATACCTTGACATTACGTTGTTACTTAAGTTGTTACTTAAATAGCAAAAAATTGATAGGAAACAGATCACTATGAAACAGTCCCCACACAAAGGACAGGGGAGGTAGGTACATATCTGCCTTACAAAATGATTATGGATGATTCTCATTTGAACCATAAGAACATTCATACATGTCTTGGAATTCTAATTGTAAGATTAAAAAACATTGTCGATCCAAGTGCAAACTAATAAACATTATGAGGTTAACCAAATAAACCACAATAAACTAAACTGATGACAATAAAGCTAACCTTACTGTGATTTATAGTTAATAATCAAGAAGGGTGGACATTTAGCCTCATAATTAAAATGCTGGTTACAATGCCTGTGTCCCAAGTACCTAGCTTTGATAACAGACTGCAGCTCCTGGCTCAAGCTTTTTCCTGGGAAGAGGCAATGGTCATGGCTCCAGTAACTGGGCTCACGCCACTCATGTGAAAGGCCTGAATTGGATTTCTGGCTCCTGTCTTCAGGCTAGCCCAGTTCCAGTCACTGTAGGGATTCAGAGAATGAACCAGGAGATAGGAATATACATACTCTCACTCCTTTCTCCTCTTCTCTCTCTCTCTCTCACATACATAAACAAATCAACAGATTTCTTTAAGCTCAGGAATAGCAACGATTTAATATGATAGCCAAATTCAGTTAGCACTAATGACACATTGATGAAGTATCCTAAATCAAGATTGTGGAACTTAGAACTGCATAAACATACTTTACCATTATTGCCAAGCTTCAAGTGTCTGCCAGACATCTGAAGAAAATACTTAACTAGCATAGATCTAGTAGCATATTGATCTTAATTTGTAAGGATCAAATTTAGTAAGGATTAATAACTTATTTTTGGTTGGTAGTAGTTTCAAGTAAAATATGAAATTTGAAAACAGTTAATAGACTTGCACATCATTCACAAGGACTGGTAAGGCCTGACCTATACTTCTGGATCAGTTTCTACATCTTCAAGTGTGCTCACTAGGCTTCCAACATGGACTTCAGAATTCACCAACCTCTGAGCACTGGGAAGTTCAGTTAAGAAGTCCTTTATCTTGACTCAACCTACTCCCTCTCCTTCTTTTCTTGCACCCCAGGAAGCTGGCCACCATGCTTACCTTGCTTAGCTCTAACAACCTCAGTCTCCTTGCTCTGTAAGATGTGGTGGTATGACATTCACAGTCACACTAGTCTTTCATCCTAAACAGCCAAAATGCTAAAAGGAAAGACAAGAATATTGCTGGACTCTGCTTAGTCTCTGGGATCTGGCTCATCTCTCTCCTCTCCGAGTTCTCTATGCTTTCTCTCCGTCACCTTCCCTCCTATACGTCCCTCCAGCTCCATACAAACAGCCTACTCACAGTGCTCCTTCTTCAAGACTGCTCCTACTCAGATATCCTAGAAAACATGGCAGACCCATCTTTGTCCTTTTCTTACATGATGTCTAAATGTGATGAAGACAATCTCCCATCTCTAGAAACTCCTTTTCCTTGATTCTAAGAAACCACATTTACCAGATATCCTCTTTCTTTGGCCATTTCCCCTTCCTTTCACTTTGACTCTTCAATATTGATTTTTTAATTGTTCTGTTTTACATTACAAAATTCGGGCTTGTTTAAACAGGCCAAACTACATAATGTGTATGTGTGTACATAAGTTTATAAAGAGGAAATTCTCCCACCTCCACTTTACCTTCCGCTTTTTGAGGTAACCAAGGTTGGTGGTGTATGTAAATTCAAACAGCTCTGGCCATGCTTACAAACACACAAGCATGCAGGGATACAAGCTTGCATCTAAATAGGTACTTTAACTTACTGTTTTATTTTGCCTAATGGGATCATATCATACATATCACTCCACAAAATGCTTTATAAAGAGTCACATAATATTCCATGGCATGAATTTATTTTGACTAAATCATTTCCCTAGCAACAAATATTGTAGTAGTTTGCAATTCTTATCTACTTCACAGTGCTGCAATAAATATTTTTATGTGAATGTGTATATATGTCCTTTAGTAGTGGGAGGTCTATTTCTGTTTTTATTTTATTTTTGATGATATTTACACAGTTGATTAGGGTGGGAAGGGCCAAGGACCAGGGAAAAGCAGATGAGACAATTGTTTCCAAATCTTCTTCCTATATCTGGGGTGTGGAGGAAGTCAAGAGGAGAAGCCACACCTAGCCTTCCAACCATCTCAGTACCCAATAATGGAGAATGGCCACCCAATGTCATCCCAGGGTCCCTGATGTAGAGCATGCTCCAAAGGTTCTGCATGAGTAGTTTCAATAGTTCTGAAATACTGTTAGTCTCACTGATCCAAGGATGAGTAAATCCTTCCAAGGTCCAATGCCTGACATAGTTCACCTTAGAGTCTCCATTCGCCCAGATATTTGCTGTCAGTGCTGGGATAGTTGACCAATTTGTTCTGCCCTCCTTCCTCTGCTATGGTACCAGATGTCCTCTGTAGGCTCCAATGGACTGCCAAATCTTCCATGTGCATCTGGGTATGCTGTCCACTGCACCATCTTCAGTAACTGAGGAGGCCCCTTTCAGACACAGGCACTCCACAGTGTCAGACCACAGGTGCTGCCACTCTTCCCATGGTTTGAGTCCTGAATCCAGTGGTTCAATTGGGGGGTTGCCCAAAGAAATCCCGTTTGAAGTGACCCCAGTCCTGAATTGAATGTGCTTGCCAGTAGAGTCTGGCTTTTTCTGTCTCTGACATCAACCGATGCATACACTGACAGGTGCAATTGCTGGGTCAGTTCTGCTCCAGTGCCATCTCTTACATAAACCAATGGATGCTGCAGCCCAGCCCAATCCTACCCACCACACACTTGGCCCTCACATACACCAGCGGGAGCTGCAGCCTAGTCATAGTGACCCTCAATAACTCCCTATTGGCCTGCCCCCAGCCCTGGTTCCTGTGCTTACCAGTATGTGTAGCATACTTGTCTAGTTTGTCCCATTAGCTTTCATACACACCAATGGGTATTGAAGCCTAGCTCATCCTAAACAACCCCACTATTCAGCCCATACTCATGCTGGCTGTGTCTATGCAGGCCCATACCCAGCCCTGGTTCTTATGCTCACCAGTGGGAGTTGCAACCCATCAGAGAGGTCCCCAGTTTCCCTACTGGACCCACTCCCTATTCTGGATCTTGCACTCTCTAGGTGATTCTACAGTCTCACTTGATGGGATTTGCCCTCAGCCCCAGCATTGCCCGCTGATGCTGGGCAATGCCCAAGCAGCCTGCTCTTATTCTGGCCTACACTCGTACCAGTGAGTACAGTCAGTTAATCCTGTCTGGTTCTCCCCTTAACCCTGTTAACATGCAGGCCAACAAGTATTGTAGCCCTGCCCATCCTGGTCTGTACCTGATCCAAGTTCTCACACTTCCCAGTGGGAGCAGTGGCCCAGTAGGGGACCCCCTGAAACATCTCTATCATAGTTGCATACCCCGCACCCAGGTCTCACATGTGTGCTGGTGGGTGCTGTGGTCCAGTCTGGCATGGTCTGCCTCACCTTGATATTTGGTGGTGGATGCTGTAGCCTGGCCCTGCCCAGTCTGCTCCCAGTTCCAGCTCATGGCAGAGGGTGCTACAGCCTAGCATAGCCCAGCCAGCCTCCAGACTTGGCCATGCACTCACCTGCAGGGAGAGCAACTTGCTTCCCCAAGTTTCTTGTTGTCAGGTCTCCTTCCAAGTGGCAGATTTTGTGCACAACTGTGGGTCCTTGGACCAGAGTGATTTAGTCTAACTCCTGTCCTGGCAGGAATAGTGGCCTTGCCCAACCGGCCCACACCCATTCTGGTTCTTACTGTTGGGTGCTACAGCCCAGCCACACCTGGTCCACGCCCAGACATAGCTCTCACATGGTTCAGTAGGTACTGAGACCTAGCTAAGCCTGTCCCACAACCTAACTGACTCCCATGAGCACCAGTAGGTGCTGGAGTGTAGCCCAGTCTGGTCCACCCCAGACTCAGTCCACACCCATGCCAAGGGACACTGCAGTCATGTCCAGCCTAGACTGTTGCACCCATTCTAACTCTTGAGCTCAACAACAGGAACCACAACTCAGCCAGGGTATCCCCTTACCTCCCCAGTCAGGTTGTTCTCAGCCATAGATGTTGTACATGCCAATGGTTGCTCTGATCCTGCTCAGCACAACCTATCCCACATCTTGGCCTTTGCTACTCGATGCTAACCTGACCTGTGCCCACCCACTCTTAGTCCCAATTCTTGCTGGTGAGTGCTACAGCCTAGCCCTGACCAGTTTGCTCCCATCCCTGGCTTTCATGCAAACCTGTGAAGTGTGTCAGCCTAGCTCAGCATAACCTGTACTCCAGCCTAGCTTCTGCATATGCCAGCGAACTAAGGTTGGCCCAGCCCTGTCTGGTCCACCCCTCCAGAACCAACCCCCATACTTGCCGATGGGCTAAGCTAACTTGAATGGACTGACCAACTCCCAGGTCTGAATCACATGCTCACCAGTGGGAGCTACGGCCCACCAGGGAAGTTTCCCAAGTTCCCCCACCAGGTCCCATTCCAAAACCCAG